CTGTCTGAGGCCATGAGAATATCATTAGTAACTTTCACCAGTGCTGTTTCTGTGCTATGATGAGCTCTAAACCCTGACTGAAACTCTTCATATAGATTATTTCTATCCAGATGTTCACATAGTTGATTTGCAACTATTTTCTCAAGAATTTTTGAGATGAATGGGAGAGGATAAACATCTACTGTAATGAAATTTACTCTCAGTAGCTATTTAAGTTAGCTAATGTAAACTCAAAGGTTATTAAAAAATGGTCAGAGCGAACAGGATTGTGAGGATATATCACTAAGTTCTTGCTCTCTATACCGTACATCAGAACTAGATCAAGAGTGTGATGAAGGGAGTGAGTAGGTCTGTGGACATTTTGAGTAAAACCAATTGACTCAATTAAATTACTAAAAGCTATATTTAAGCCATCACTTTCAACATGAATGTTAAAATCTCTTATTATAATTTTATCAGTTTTTAATAATAAATCAGTCAGAAAATCTGAGAACTCTGATAAAAACTGAGAATAAGGGCCTGGAGGATGATAAATAACAGCTAGTAGTAGTGGTTCTTCTGATTTCCATTTTGGATGAGAAAGACTGAGGGACAAAGACTCAAATTAATTATAAATAATATTAGATTTAGCATTAATTAATAGTTCTGACTTATAAACTGCAGCTACTCCTCCACCACGACCTGTTATTCTAAGAACATGAAAATTTAAATAATTAGCAGGAGTGGATTCATTTATACTAACAAAATCCTCCTGTTGTAACCAGGTTTCAGTAAGACAGAATAAATCATATGATGATCAGTTATCAGATCATTAACTAACAGACACTTAGAAGAAAGAGATCTAATGTTTAATAAACCACACCTAATAGTTTTATTGTTTTGTTCTGGTAAAGTAACTGTGTTTATTTTTTATAAGATTTTTATGATTTATTTTTCTAGAGTTTTATATTTAATTTGGTCCGTGGGGCTGACACAATGTTAATGGGGGTTTGGGTGGGTAATAAAGGAGAAGCAGCAGAGAGGTGTGTATGACTACAACTCTGCTTCCTAGTCTGGACTCTGGATTGTCAGTAATTTCTGTGGTCAACAAAATCAGCTAAATTCTTAGAAAGGAGAGCGGCTCCAGTCAGGGTGGGGTGGATGCCATCTCTCTGCATCAGATCAGGTTTCCCTCAGAAAGAACTCCAGTTATCCATGAAGTCGACGTGGTTTTCAGAACACCACTTGGATGCCCAGCGGTGCAATGAAGACATGCGACTAAACGTACCATCACTAGTCAGGTTAGGTAGGGGGTCAGAAAAAACTACGGGGTCCGACATCTTCTTTGCAAAGTTACAGACCGAAGCAACGTTAATTTTAGTAACTTCCGATTGACGTAACCGAGTGTCATTACAACCGACGTGAATCACAATCTTACAGTACCTAGCATTAGCATTAGCTAGAAGCTTCAGGTAGGATTCTGTGTTGCCCGCTCTGGCTCCTGGAATGCATTTAATCATGGTTGTTGGGAGTCCCCAGATCCACGTTACGGACTATGGAGCTGCCAATAACCAGGGTCTGTTTCTCGACCGGAGTGTCGCTGAGTGGAGAGAAGCAATTTGAAACATGAACAGGTTGACGGTCGGGAGGTTTAGCTTTAGCACTGTGCTTTTTCCGAGCCGTCACCCAGCTAGCTTGGGGCGGTGGCCTCACAGGATCCACCGAGAGACCGCTAACAGGAGAGGCTTCTCTCGGCAGCTCCATGCTAGCCTGGCTAGCTGTTGGCTTCTCAACAGCGTGAAGCCGAGCTTCTAATAAAGACAGCCTCGCCTGTAAAACTGCCATTAGTCCACATTTAATACAAATGTTGCCAGCACCAAAGGAGGCAGGGGAGCGACTAAACATCTCACAGACGGAGCAGGTGAGGAAAGCCGAGCTCGGAGAAGAAGTAGCCGTGATGCTAAGCAAATGTTAGCGAGGGCTACAAGATCCCGAAAAACACAAATAAAACCAAGAAGTGTTGAAAAATAAAAGTAAGCACAGTCCCAATAAGAAGAAACTACATCAAGAGTGATTTAGGACTAGAAGTAGAACCGTGCAAATGAAGATAACCCAGTGAGTTAAAGAAATTCCCAAACAAACAAACAAATTGCCAAGCACCAGCAGTAAGCAGAAAATGAAATATTACGATACCCCACGTCTAACCTCACCCTGCCTCCTGAAAACGGGCAGGTGTACGGAGGAGACGGTTTTGGTAGAAACTCTAAAGTTTTGTGGTGCTTGTTAACGGAGCAGTCTTTCACTGTCAGCATCAGAATGAAGTGTGAATGAAGTGATTTGTTACTTTATACTCACAAAGTACTGTACCTGGGTATGTACCCATAGTATCATGAACATACTGAGTGTCAACTTGGTCACTAACAGGTACATATCTGGTACTAGGGTTGTATTATAAAGTGAATTGTTACTCTGAACTTATCATTTAAGTACATAGTACTTACCCAGTATGTACCCTGGCTGTACTATGATCAGATCTCGTCAGTACTGTGTTTCTGTCCAGGCTGTGATCCATGAAATCCAGAGGGTTGCCAACACGGCTCCTCTCAGTGTCTTCCACTGTTCCACTAAAGACACAGAGCTGATGGGATATGACATTCCCAAGGTGAGAAACTTAGAGTTTGGTCAACATGTACATATTAAAGAAATCATGCCACCTTCATGATTTTATCTGTCCCTTTGGTTTCCCTTCAGGGTACCATGGTCATCCAGAACATGGAGTCAGTGCTGAGGGAGGAGGGTCAGTGGAAGTTCCCTCAYGAGTTCAATCCTGAGAACTTCCTGAACGAGCAGGGAGAGTTTGTCAAACCAGAGGCCTTCATGCCTTTCTCTGCAGGTAAACTCACATCAAACAAAGAGACAAAATGAAACCAAACAGCTAGAAATGACCTTTTCTGGTGTCTCAGGTCCTCGGATGTGTCTGGGAGAAGGTCTGGCTCGTATGGAGCTGTTCCTCATGACGGTGACCCTGCTGAGGAAGTTTAAGTTCATCTGGCCCGAGGATGCTGGAGAACCAGACTTCACTCCGGTCTTCGGGATCACTTTATGTCCGAAACCTTACAGGATGAAGGTCCAGCTGAGGTCTGAACAGTGAGGAGGTGCAGACGCTCTGCAGAAACTGATGAAAGAACTGGAAGGGGCTCCTTTTAACACTAGTTTAACTAAGGCTGTGCTTTTTTGCGCAGGAGACCTTGGCCTCTATATCCCCTGCTCCCCTGCTGTGAGCCACACAGTGTCTTATTAATATGCTAAAGAGTCAGTCACACCTAGAGCCACACCTAACCCTAATCACAGCTCACCTACATGTCCCTCCTTTGGACCTAATCTGTGCTCCTACACCCCCCCCCCCCTTTGGTATTTGTAAATTTTCTCAACTGTCCCCATAACTGTGCCCCTACAAATCCCCCCTTTGCACACTTTTGTGCTCCTAGTCAATTCTGACTGATTTGATATATATTCATTGAAAACAAAAAGACAAAACCTTACTAAACACATAAGACTTGAATCAAATAGTATATTTACAAGTTTTTACTGTAGCTCTGAAAATACAGTGGCATCCAGTTATGTTCTTTGCAACACACCACATCTCCAGAGCAAAAACTTGTAAACAGGAGCCCTTGAGAATATCATCAGGCGTGGTGGTCGTGTCTGGATTAGCTGCAGCCATGTAAATAAAAAAAGGCAACTAACAGCCCTCAGATTGCCAAGCAGAAGGATGGGGTTTGTCCTCAGGATCTCAAAATTTTAGTCACTTCTGTGTTAAACCTCCTTCAGGACTTTTTCTAACGAGTTATTCTGTGAGTTTGAACGATTTTATAAAATAATAGTTTTCATCATAAATCTCTTGTTAGAAAATAGCACATTAAAAATATGTTTACTTGTACAAAATAAATCCAATACTCAAAATGGTCAGAGTGTAATACAGAGAATACAAAAATAAATTATGGCTCATGTAGATAAAAACCTTTTGAAATATGATGTAAAATGTTTCAACTGTGTTTAAATAAGGGTTCAGGAGCCTGATGGCGAAAAATTCTCAGTTTTCAAACCATAGAAAACAATAAGAGTCATTAATTAATTTTCTGCCTGTTTCAACGTAACCAGGATTTTATTGAAAACAAAATAAAGGTTGCAAACCCACCAGTATTTGTGTTTTGATTCCCATCACCCACTGGAACACAAGTTAGGAGTCACCAGAACTCTGTACCACAGAGCAGACAGGGTCCCCACAAACACAGGAGCCAGGGAGAAAAAGAAGTCACACACAAGCAATGGTGGACAGTAGGGGAGTACATTTACTTGAGTACTGTACTTAAGTACATTTTTGAGTATCTTTACTTGAGTAATTATTTTTTGGGGTACTTCTGACTGTCACTCCACCACATTTCTAAGAAGCTTTTGTTTACTCGTAACTTTTGGTTCAGCATAGCTTTATATTTAGCCTGGTCAAAACCAGACCCTTGTCCTTCACTTTGCTTCGTACGAGGGTCTGGACTCTGCTATTGAGAAGCGATTGCTTGCTGGAGGCGTGGCCTCTGCTGAAGTTTAAAACGATTGGATCGGTTGGCCGCAACGTATGTGTGCGCCAGGCCAGCTCCACTGTGAAGGAGGCTAAGCTAAGAAGCTAACCAGAAATTGTGTGCACTGTGAACAACCCTACTGAGGGGAGAGAAGTACCGAGTCGAACGAGACGACTGTAAAATGAGAGCTGCTGCTTTGTCAGACGAATTTTATTCAATTTAAACCTTATCAACACAGACTGGCTTCATTCACTTCCTCCACCGCCGAATGCTAAACTCACAAGTAGACACTGTGCAGAAAATCAACATTGTCGTTTAATACTCGTCCTGTTTGCTGATTAGCCCAGGTAAAATTCTCCTGAAGAAATCCTTGTCTATGGGAGAAATCCCAGACGGAGCAGTGAAGGAAACTAGAATTGAGCGGAACTGTAGGAAGGCAAGGGCCAGGCTACTTTGTAATCAGCTTGTCTTTCTTGAAATGCAATTGGCCACACGCTGTGTTCCTGACGAGGGGAACCAATCACAGTTGTAGCTCACGTCTAGGATAAATTTGGAATTACATCATCTTCATTAACGGTCACGAGCTGATCTCCACCTTCATTTCAAACAGAACCCAGCAATGGAGACGGCTGAAAAGAGTAGAGAAACCAGTGTACCTATGACCATATCTCAGCTCCATGTTTGAGATGGGTTCACTGTGAATAAACTACTTTTCTGCATTTAAGAACTCATCGCTCACTTTATTATATTTTTATACTGAAGTCTTTACAGGTGGTGATTTGTAGCAGAGTGCTTCTGTGTGTCGATACATCAGGTGGTTTCTGAGAGTTACAAGGTTCTGTAAATTCACTCTGAAAACAATACAGCAATATACTCATATTAGAAAATTTTATTTGTACTTTTGAATACTTGAGTACTTTTAAATGCATGTACTTTTGAATACTTAAGTATTTTCAAAAGTAAGTACTTCAATACTTTAACTTGAGTAGATTTTTGACGGAGTAACTTTTACTTGGTAGTTGAGTAGATTTTATGCTGAGTATCAATACTTTTACTCAAGTACTAGAGTTGAGTACTTTGTTTACCACTGCACACAAAACAGGCCCGTTCAGACCTGCAGGAATTGTACGTACTGTATGGTTCTGTCGATGCTGACGAGGTTAAAACAGTTATTGATGGACCTCTGATCGCTACACACTGTTGTCTCACTTCTTGTGGCTTTGTTTGATGTCCTCGTTCACCTGTGACTCAAATCAAAGTACAGAACCAGAGCAGACAGCAGAGCTGCAGTTCAGTCACATTCTCTCTTCAGCACAACCCAAACCATGCTGGTCTCCATGGTTCTGCTGTGGTTCTGTTTCTGCTTCATCCTCCTCCAGCTTAAGCCTCGGAGGCCCAAGAACTTCCCTCCAGGACCCTTTACTCTGCCTGTCCTGGGGAACCTTCTGCACCTGACCTCAGAGAACCCCTTAAAGGAGTTAAAGAAGGTAAAGAGAGCTCTGATGTTTCTCGATGACCATTTTTAAATTAAAAACATTTCTGTGCTTTACTTTCTTTAACATTTTCATTTCTTCAAATGTTGCCAAAACTGAAAACTAGAACTTTACTCGTCCAGTTTTTGCAGCTCAGAAACAAGTTTCCCATAAAACTGGTGGTGAAAAACAAATTCTCAAGTTTGACTCATTTTACCCGACTTAACTTATAGCCTCACAGAAAGTAAAATCTACAATTAGCCAAACTAAACGTTGGAATTAGTAGAACAGTAGCTAAAATATAAAACCAGCAGCATATTGGCTAAAAAAGATGGATTTTGAAACAGTTGAAAGATAAGTGGCAAAAAGTTACAACTAGGAGAATACCAGCTTAAATTAGCAAAACTAGCTAAAATGTGAAAATACATGAAGAATCCTGAAGTAAATTTCATAAACCACAGGTTTTAGAAGATCAGAAAAAATCTTGGATTGTATAGAAAAAATTAAAAAAAGTATAAAAGTGGGGAAAACATACTTTATTTTTAAACAAAACAAGTGGACTTTTATTTGTAGTTGAAGACACTTCCCCTCATATTCAGGGAACTTTCTTAATTCAGAACTGGTTTTAGGTTAAAAGTTTAAACTGCATGAGAGCTACAGAACAGAACCCTGGGGTTTGTGATTTATTCTGTTTTATTTGTATTTGTTTGGATTTCTAGATGACTAAGAATCTAAAGCGACTCAAAGCCATCGTGACCTGAATGAGCTAAATATTTTCAAACCAGAAGGACTGATGTTACTGACAGTATGCTGAAGTAGTAAATAAAATAAAATTATAAATCATACAGAAAACCTTCAAACGGAATGCAAACTTTTTTTTTGGTCAAAATTAAAAACCTTGATCAAAATATTCATAATAACAAATTTGTTCAGATTTATTTTTAATTTCAGAAAACTGTGCCAAAGTATCCATGACCTGGTGCTGGTTCATAACCTGGTACTCTGTAGACCCCTGCTCTACAGATCTGTCTACATCCCATTCAACATCAGTATTTGTTAGAAACTTTAAAAGTTTATTCTCACATGTAATGGTGATTCCAACAAATGCATTTTCTTTTTCTAAAAATAAAAAGGACATTAAAGGCTGACCATGGCAGCACTTTTTAAATAATAATTATAA